CTGATATGTGATTTATTAATTTTCAATGTTCAGTAGTTATTCAAATGAACCGGTTAGAAAATATTGAATATTTAATATGTTTTAATTAGTCATAAAGTTCAATGAAGATTAAGACAAACAGAAAATAAGGGATATTATTCTTTTATGATGATGCAGTAGAGTTCAGGATTGCAAAACGATAAATAACACTTCTAGGAGATTTAACCTTTTGAATGATATAATTAAACGATAAAACAACAACTACAGAGTGATTAGTGTCTATGTGATTACGTTTTTAAAATGTATAGAAGTCACTGGTTAAAGTCTAAAAAAGCAAACAACAGGTGCAAATGTTTTGTAAAACAGTGTCAGTCTAAGCATTCTAGTGTCTGAGAGAACGAATTCCCACTGTGAACTCAATAGGAAACTAGTGTACTGCGTATTTTTCAAAGTTAGGCTGACTATTGAGCTTCGAGGAAAATTTAAGGTGACTCTAAACTATAACAGCCCAAAACGGAGCCACCCAGCGAACGGATGAATGACCTTGGGCAACGGCTTTGTTGACCACTCAGACGCGTTCTTGTATATATTTCAAGAAACCTTCCCAATTTCTTATAGTAGTCTCCATAGTTAGGTTAGACGAAGTCCTGTACATAAATTCATTGAGGTTGCTGTGTATCATTGTGTTTCTCGATCCATTCACAGCTCTGATCCCTTTTTTGGAAGTGACTCCGAAAATTTTCGATGGAATTGGTGTGAGTTCTATCGAAAGGATAGATGAAATCATCTGTATGGTTGAAAACGTGATGAATATAGCCCTAGGAATGACAGCTGGCTATAACTGCTCTATTCATCTGTGTGAATAGCTGTTCCAGGCTACACTAAGCGTTGGACTACGAGCAATAAGACATTAGCACTGCGATTAGGGATCACCTTAATGTCTCCTTTGCGTAAGGTGGTATAATATATTCCCAACGCCTACTACTGATACTCACTCAGTCTACCTCGATCATATTTCCTTTTTATAAGCACTGTTTCACCTATACGAACAATGACGCCAGTGCTGCCAAGTACTGGAGTCAGTCAGCTCATTTTCCATGATGTTATGTCTCTGAAGAACGACATACCTTCTCGAACTGACTTTTTGTCTTGGCTCTCTTTACACCTGTAGACAAATCGATCAATGCACTGAGTATATCTTTGCAAATACATAACACCTCCACATTAACAAATTTTCTCCATTTCTATTAGTTTGTTATCCAAACAGTAACCAAATACAAGATCTGGATAAAATGCTTGCTACTACAGCATCCATAACTGCGCTTATAAACTACGGAATCACCTGATTGTTTGTTCAAGGAGATGTATCCGTTAGCAAGGTAGTTTCGTTTTGGGTTGCTATGGTTTGGAGTTCTCAAATTTAGTTCACAGTCAGACTTTTGACACCCAATATCCCGGTAATCCTAGTATACTTCAAGAAGGTCTCTGTCAGATACTAATTAACTCAAGCGACAGAATTTATTAAACGGTGAATAACATACAGCCCAATGTTCTGTACACGCCAAAAGTTATATCACATTATCCAGTATCTTATTACGGGGAGATAATGAATAATCCACACACACTACACATACTGCACACTTTAACTCATGAAAGAGGCAGGATGTTTTTAAGATAAAGAAACCCCAGGTTATCAGAAGTGAAAGTAGCATCCGATGACAGTATTTCCAAATGGCACACTTAAAGTACTACGTATTTTTTCCCGACACTTTGTGATCGAGTAATATCCTGCCCACATTTTGAAAACGGGAGTCATCATTTTTAGTCTCGTTATTCATTCGTAAATCTGTGAGTTTTGCATCAAAATAACAGACTTTGAAAAACTTTTATAAAGCTGTGAAGCATTCCTTTATCATGAAAATTTACCACTTTTTATGAAAATAACAAAAAAAAACACAAGTTTTGTAATTAAGCAAAATTCAATTCGATATATTACCTAACTTACGAAACATCTTAATGGGTTTGAAATTTCATAAGTTATTTGACAGAATAATAATTCTAATCTCTATCAGATTCATACCTGCAATAAGAACCAAGCTCTATTATCTAGTCCGCGAAGGAATAATAGTGAACGAATACCTCAAAATATGTCCAACGTTGATTAATTGAGATGGTTTAGTCAGTACACATAACATGTCTGTTTGATTTTTGCTTAAAAGGCAGTTAACAAACACAGAGGAAGTACTTTTTTAGATTTTGACCACAGATTGATATCAATTAGAAAACCATTGAAAACTATCAATGAGTAGTGGGCAGATGTTTAGTTCTAGTTTGAGAATCACCGGCAGTACATATCCACTGGGGTTCGAACCCAAGACCTTCAGGTTAAAAGGCGAGCTCGTATACCAGCCACTAAGACCCATTTCCATGGCTAGCCAGCGAATTCTAACTCCCACCAATTCGTGATTTTTAGCGCGACTCCCACCCAATATCATCGGTGGGAAATCTACCTCTAATCGTGACTGGATGGACTTCACTGGTCATGACTTCTCACTAGAACTCTAGGGAACTTTGTCCTGTAGCAAGTCTCTAGCTACCATCACATTTATTTTCAAGGGTTGATTTGTTAGGATTTGATTTGTTTTTCGAGTTCAGTTCTCTAACTAATATCAATCCGTGGTGATATTCGAAAGTACCTTTTATCAAGGTTAAATTAAAATCATACATATACACATATGTGCTCCCCGTCTATTTAGTTAGAGACTGATTCATTGACATAAATACAGTTGCAGTAAATCTCCATGATGCCCCAACATATATTTTCCTTGACAAATCACATGAATATATATCATTATTTATTTTTGATTACAGCTTGATTCCACACTGTTTTCGGTACAAGTATGGAATTTTCAGCATGGATATCGGTAACCCAAATTTTGCAGGCCGACCATACATATCAGGTGTGCGTCGGCGTGGGCTCGAACCTCGGACCATGTGCATGGTTGGCGAGAGTCCTAACCACTGTGCCACCAACGTACAGAATTCCAATAAGATATTTTTAACCCGATATTCGTTAGTAGTAGAATCTGGATTGCTAGTCTTATCCAGTCTGGGAGTTATCAACTACATGTGTCTCATGTATACTAGCTGGTTCACGATATAAAGTTAAAAGTATAACTTGTTTTTTATTCCTTTACTTTCCCAGTGGAACATTGGGTTTCAAGCTGGAGGCTTGAAGTTTCCGTACCAGTGGTGTTTATTTTTACGGGTTGGGGTTGCAGTTGACCTCATGCCCTACCTACCGTCTTTTCCAGTCGTATTACTGGCTTACCGAGTTAAAGGAGTGCGTGGATGGCCGGATATCGAACCCTGAACCACATGAGGCGTACTCGGCAAACATTCTACCGCTGTGCCACCGACTCAAAAGTATTACTAGAACGAATGAAACACACTAGAAAAAGTGTAATCTAATTTCGAAAGGTCACTTTCTGAGTAGTTTGTTAACTTTCCAAACAAGTGAGGTGATACAAAAATAGGAGAGATATCGCAAGCTTCCTGGGTATAACATGTTCTGCGAAGAGTTTATGTAGAACGGCTAGCTACTCTTGAGAATACCCAGAAGTGAAATCAGTTTTCTCCTCATGTAAACAGAATCTGTTGAATGCGGTTGGATATGAACTCAATCAGAATTAAGCTTTGTCAGTTAAAGGATCAACGCTACGGAGCCAATTAAACAAAATGATTTAGTTTATCTAATACCCTGCTGGGGTGATTGTCAGGTCAAATACATAGATCAAACTAGTAGAACAGGTGCAGCCAGACTAGCGGAGCATAAAAACTCAACAAAATCTAGTTTAGTTGACCCGAATAAGATAAGAAATCTGGAGAATAGCCCACTTACAGAACTACATGCAATTACACACAACTGTACAATAGGATGGGTTAAAATGACACTTATAAAATCTAATGTAACAGGGTGGAGGGAGAGATTGATAATGGAAACTTAATTTGTCGAATCAACTGCAAACACGTGTAATAGGAATGATTCAGCATCTGTTCAACCGGATATCTGGAAAATTACACCACCCTACGACAAATGGCAAGACGTAAAGGAAACTTGCCATTGGATTGGGTCCCAGCGGCTTGGTGGTCTACGAGCTCGCTAGCCCTGTAACCAGAAGGTCTTGGGTTCGAGCACTGGTGATGGGTGCATACCGCTGAAGAGCCCCCAAACTAGGCTGATGAAACATCTGTCCAGTACACTCAGCTGGTTTTCCAGTGGTTCTCTAACTGATGTCAATTCATGATGCAATCCTGTAAGTGTATAGAAGTTGATCTCCGAATCTTGTTTTATTATGTCAGCATCAAATACATGGACTTAAAATGACACAACACCTGCACCGAATACGTGGAGGATTGCAATGAATACATGAAGCAGTTAAAGCAAACTAGGAAGTTGTGTAGATATTATGATTACCATCATCACATAGTGCCCGAAAAGCCATATGATGTATCTTTGCGTTAATTCATATGAACCTATCTTCCTACCAAAGTGCCCCATTTCTATTTATTATTGATGAAGGTTAAAAGGTGATACAATATTCCACTTGCTGATTTGCACATTGTGCTTTTAGTCATATGTGGTAATCACTGTAGGCAAGGCGATAGGCTCATACAGCGACTTGCTTGAAATTTCAAACTATAGCTTGTGAACCTCATGCCTTTAAAACATCAAATGTTTGTGCACAATCAATCCCTGGACACTACAGTCTATCTGTATCCTGAAGAATATTAACACTACCTTTCTGTGTGTAGATCCCTGTGATTTGGTTGAAGAACACTACTAAATGTCAAATGTCAGTGTAATGCATGTTATTTATAGTGCAGTCATAAAAGTTGAAAGTGTACACTTCCAAGTCCCTCAAATTTGGAATAAATATGAAGATATTAGTCAGACGATTTCATCTAATAACAAAATTTCAAGAAAAAAACAAACAAACTTGCCAGCAAAATTCACTCACCTGTATGTGTTCTAATATGTACATACATATTACTATAATGTCTTGTTGTATAATTACACAATTTACATTTTAGTAAAGATTCCCCGTACTAGTTGAATGAGTTTTCTGTAAATGTCTTAATAAGTTTTTCTCAAATCGAAAACACTTATGACACAATGGACATAGCATATTTTGATCCATAGTAAATGCACTGAAATTTAACGGAGGTGAATATGAAGTGGGCGGCGGTGGTGATGATGATGACGGGGATTGCGATTGTGTATTCCATAAAAATGATGTTTTCACATCACTGAAATTTGTTTCACTACTGAACACTATGATGAACAGCTTGGATCTATATTTTCTGGCTTCACAAAGCAATCAGGCAATGTGGTATCTATCTTATTTGGGAGTATAGGAGATGGTTTCCAAAGCGAATCCTGAAATGAATCTTCTTGTATTTGATTTGAGTGATTTTCTATGCACGGAATAGACCATGGAATTTAGAGTTAGGCTGGTATGTTCTTGGTATATCATTAGTATTTACATATGGCTTTATGGGGAATTCTTCATCTGTGTAAAATCCTTTACCAACTTGTTGGTTAGCGATTGAAGCTTTGTTCACCGCCTTCATCATGATAATCATCATCGTCATCAGCGTATCTTCTGAGAATAGTTCATTATTCAATGTGCGCGGATTTTCATTAGTACAATCAACATCCTGCAGAGAAGTATCATCATAGGAATGATAAATTCGTGACCATTCATTCAAAAGCCATTGTGATGCAAACTTACTGCTTTCATCGTATGAACAAAATGGGCGGGTGAACTTCTCTGCTGGCACTGACAAATCTTCTATAGACAACATCTGATCCCCGCATAAAGATTCTAATTTCTTTAGTTGTCTGCTAACTGGTAAATTTCTACTAGTTAAATCGATCACATTGGATTCGGTAACATTACACAAATTATCGGAACATTGACTTGAGATTCGACCGTGATCATTGGATGTAATAATTTCCATAAACATTCGACGAAATACCTCTACTCGTAATAACTTTGACCATGTATATAATATTACAGGTGATGGTATAAAATGATGTATACAACAATGTTGATGTTTTGTGTAACTTTCAGATATCTTCAATGCATAGTTCACTTTTTCTTCAATATTTTTATCATTATAATATGGATAAACACTTTGATTGAATTGATCATTGAACAATTGAATGATTGAATGAAAGTGCGAAGAAGCGGTTACTTGGTTACAGTTTTTCAATAAGTAAACAAATTGTTTAAATACTTCGAGAATATTTTCATTCATTTGTCAAAAAAATTGGTATGTAGGAAGAAATTCAGTTATGATGAAGTAGTAGAGAATATTTGCATTAATTTTTTCTTTTCTGAATTATCAAAGTTGGGTAACTGAAAGAAATACGAAAAATATGCTTGTAATGATAGGATTGCAAAGAGAAGAAAGCTAATGCTTTAGGTGAGGGTAAAAGGAAGGCAGGACAAGCCTTCAACACTCTGACATCAGTTTAGAAATCTGCTGTTTTCAGTATTATGAGGAAAAAATTTGGATTTTCAACATTAGTGTTAAGTCAGTCACTTCTGCTGCTATATGGGTCAGAGACATGGTGAATGAGTCATGAAAAGCAGACTTTATCAGCAACTGCCATCGCTGGTTGCACAGTGACGGTCAGGTGGCCAGCAAGAAAGAATTAGCTGCAAAAGACTCTGGGAACAAATCATTCAAGAACTTATTACCCATTAAATATGTAGAAAAAAATGAAGATGGATTGTGTGCACACTGAAAAGACCGTTCGGTAACATCACGCACCAGGTATAACTGCTAGTGTATCACGAGTGGGAAGTGACCAGTCTGGCTTGGTCCGAGGGTGTCGTGGAGGAGATCGTGTGAGGAGGAGATGAAGGTTTAATAGCAATCGTGGAGACAGCTGAAGAGGACTGCACTGAAGAGGATAAAGTGGAGATTTGTGGTTCACTCGAAACCCAAGAGGATAATAATAATACTGTTGTTTGAAATAAGCATAAGGTAGACTAAGCTGGAGAAATCATCTCTTCTAGAAATAGAACGTCTTAGAGATAGACATTTCAGCGGCCAATTTCTTGAAAAAAAACAGGTGTCTCTTTTACTGACAACTCTCTATCTAAATATTTAGTATCTGTGTCATACCCCATTAGAGATAGATCAAATTGTAGGCTAACTAATTCCTAAGTAATAAAACAGAAAATGTAGGAAGTTCAATTAGAAAAAGATCAAAAAATGATTAATTTTGACATAGCAGTTTATATACTAATATTTCCATTAATACAGATCTGGAGGCAGTTAGGAATGAACTGAATATTGATGCTGAACTCGGAAGTAGGACTAAGCTTTCGGTTGATGAAATAATATTAGGTGTTTAGTTGCTTTTAACCTCCCCTGTATTCAGATTTCAAAATAAACTATATTGACAAACGAATGAGTGACAATGGGATCACCAATATCCCCAATAGTGGCAGACATATTTATGGATAGTTGGGAATATAAGGCTCTCAGAACGTTTAATCCTGCTCCTGGGTTATGGTGGAGATATGTGAGATGACATACTCCTAGTGTTGAAATCTCAACATATCCCTCAAATCTTTACACATATAAAGTCAATAGAAAACAGAATCCATTTCACTAATGAGTTAGAAAACTAATCGAGTGTGTTAGCCATGCTAGACTGTAGAATAAAACGAAAACAAGATGGTGGGTTATATGCTAGCATTTATGGGAAACTGATACACTCTAATGCATAGTAAGAATTTAATTAATCCCATCCAGAAACGGTAAGGATAGGTTTAGTTTTTTTTTATGGTGACAGCTTGATTCCACACCGTGTTTTTGGTACAAGTGTGGAATTTTCAGCATGGATATCGGTAGCCCAAAATTCGCAGGCCAACCATAGATATCAGGTGTGCGTCGGCGAGGGCTCGAACCCCGGACCATGTGCATGGTTGGCGAGAGTCCTAACCACTGTGCCACCGACGCACAAAATACTCCGTCCGAAGACAGAGCTGAAAAAAATGAGACAAGACTCATTGTATTGTGCCTCCCTACGGAAATCTTTAGTAAAAGGCGAAAGATTTATCCGCAAATGAGGAGACACCAGAGTTAACTGTCTTTATAATCGGGCCAAGAGCCTAACTAGTCAGACAGAAGATTTAAGTAAAGAAATCGAATAAATAAAACAAAAATTACTAGTGAATAACTACCCACTAGAATTTATTCAGTAATATATGAGGCACCGTAAAAAAACTAAGGTTAGCAATAAAAGTGACGAAAATAACCAAAATAATATAGAATCCGAAGCCTCTGTAGTACTACCGTATAAAGAGGGGATGTCAAAGGCCTTACGCAGGATTCTCAATGTAATTGGAATTAGGGTGGCATTTAAACCAACCAACGAACTCTCTCAGAGAGAAACTTTGTTGGCTTAAGGACTCATCCGATATATCCAATGAAGAAAAACATAATTTACCAAATACCATGCAATTAATGACTGTCAGTGAAGTCAATTACATAGGTCAAACTAGTAGTAGATCAGGGTAAACTAGATTATTGGATCACACAAATTCAGCTAGTTCTAGGATAATTGATCCTGTTAAGTTAGATAACCTAGAAAACAGCCCAGCCGTTGCACTGTATTCACTTGCATGTAATTACACAATAGGTTGTGTGGGACAGGATGAGATTATTAAAAAGTAATATAGCTAGATGGACAGAGATAGGTTAATCACTGAAGCTTTGTTTATCGACTTAAGAAATAAAATACATCATACAGGTATTCCATGTGATGATTCTTTTTCTAATTATGCATTTACCCAACCAAAACCAGCTACTTGATACGAGTTCATCCTGTGTAAACAATAAGCATGTGAAAAACACTTGCAAAGTGAGATGAATTCACTTTATTCCACAGGCTTTTCCATCAGCTTCAAACAACCTGAATAATAAACTAAATCATCTTCAAAGAGGAGCTCTTTCTCTTGGATTCCGGTTTCATATTCAAAAACAGAACAGATGCAGAAACTCGGTTTGAGAATTCATTTCAGCAATTCAATAGTCTCCAATCCACTGATGAAGATTACAACAAGGATGTTTAAAGCCCTATTTGGTTGATGTTGTTAGTCAGTGCTATGTAACTGTACTTCCTCAATCTAAATTTCTACTTCAGGAATACTAGGCAGTCTTAAGAGAATTAAGAAAGAGCAAAAATATCATTGTTCTTCGACTCGACAAGAGTTCAGGATTAATTTTAATCATTATACAGAAAGCTAAGTCTCTTAGATAAATCAAATACTATACGATACCTCACGATTTAAAATGGAAGCTTTTTTAATAAAGACAATAAAAAATGACGATAAATCACAAAACAGTTTAAGGAACTCCTAAAAGAAGAAACTGCTAACAATGAAGCGTACAATGAAATCAGACACAAAAGATCCCACTTAACTTTTATGTACGGACAATCAGAAATACATAAGGACAAAATTCCAATGAAATCTATCCTGCCTGTGGTCAATATCCCTTATCGTAAATCTTCTCGTTGGTTATCACAAAGAAATACAAAATGTTTGATAAAACTTATCGACATATACCTTAAAAGGCTCGTTCGATTTCTGGAACCGAATAGAATATAATACACCTAACAATTTTATGACATCCTGTAATATGAGATCCCTGTTTATTAGTATTCCCATTAAGGAAACAACACCTATCTCCTGTCAGTGCACAAAAAATACGCATCACCAGTAGCTCATATGAGGTGTCTCCTGGTCGTATATACCAAAGATATACAATTCAAATTTAACAGCATGTTTTATAGACAAGTGTATAGAGGAACAAGGAAGAGTCCCCTGGGTCCAATATTAGCTGATATCTTCATGTCCCATCTGGAAAATACTGCAATAAAATCTGCAACCATAGTAATTGCGTTTTATTTAAGGTGCATAGATTATGAATTTGTTGTAAGTGATGATGCCTATCATGCTGAAACACTACTACAGTGCCCATTCAAACTTCAAGTTCCCAATGGAGTACAGAGTCAATAATCAACTATGACTTCTTGACTCATGTGTGAAAAGAAAATAAGACGGAAAAATGGAAAGGTGTATTCAGTGCAAACCAACTTGGAGTAGTGGATACCTAAACTTCAACAGCTTCTTTTTTGTAAACTACAAGAGGGTTTTTATTAAGGACGTTATATCACAAAGCATGAAAACTTTGCTCAAAAGAAACATTAAAAAATAAAATCAATCGCATCAATGAATATTTAAGGAACGATTCGTAGAGAAGTTTTGTAAATGTGATAGGATGAAGGATGAGCACAGTACTGTTGAAAAGAAACGAATGTCTCTAAATTATAAATTAAAGGTGGTCCAATTCGGAACACAAAATCTCTGAATAAGAAACGGTTTCGGGAATCGGTAGAAGTTTTAATAAATTTCGATTACATATGTGCCTTTACAGGAATGACTATTTAAAAAAAACTTCAGAAACTTATACCACTGTCAAATTACTGGGTTACATCTACCAGATAATGTTAGTTAAATCACTCAAAGTGAGGTTAATCACTCTCTAGGAATTGTCATATTAGGAATCGATAGACATTCATAGGTTTTTCCATTTAATCGACAAAACTAACTGACAAATTGAATATAAAAAGTTATACTTAGTAATAGAACCTGGAGTGATCCACTGGAAGATCATGATTTGGGCACTAACTGTCATACTTAGAAATTTTTGAAGTATAGTGACCAAAAGAATTTAGTTTTCTAAATAACTCCACGTTTTTAAGTGAACATAAACTTATTCCAATGCAACCAGTCTTCAATGACTAAAAATATAACTATTGTTAAGACTGTTTTTCGTCTTCAAAAAGATGAATTATCAGTTGCCCTAATTTTGTATCGACACCAAAGTATGCTCCCTTAGAGATACGATTTTATTTTAATAAATCACACAGTGTTATACAGTGATAATAACTGATCAATAACTTTCGAGCACAAACTATTGCTTATAATCATCATATCAAGTCACCCACACAAATTTCTTGATTCATTTATATACATGTGTGGAAATGATTGGATATTTGAATAAAAATCAATATGGAATAATGTGCATTTGGAAATAATATGGGTGTTATCAATCAAATACAATCAGATGGGAAACAGCATGTTTTTGTAGTCAAAATAAGTAACTTGTTAGAATGTTATGATGTACGCGAATTGATATAGAATTTCAGGATTATTTATTATCCTCCTCTGGTT